TTCAGTATGCAAATGACACTCAAGCGTGAAACATCTCTTCGGGGTGCTCCGCAAAATCACTCTTTTCGGCAATCTTAACGCCTGTGGTGCTTTATTTTCATGTCGTACACAAACATGAATATGTCCGCGATACAACTGCGATGTTAATTTACGAGTTCGGTGCGATGTCAGTGCGATTTCCGCGTAAAAGCGACGGAAAAGCATGATTCAAACAGTCGTTTTGACTGCTCAAACTGGCTGTCAGTCATGGGTTTATGCAAATGTAAGGTGTTAATCCCGAGTTATTTGTTCAATCTCTAGGTATGTTTATGTAATTACGGAGTTGATCATGTAAGTGATATCGTGGAGCTAATAAGAAATGATATGCTGTGAGCTGTCTTGTCCGTCCTCTCATCTCAGGGGACATCGTCGGCGCTCCACGAAGCGGTCCGACCCGAGCGAGTGCGAATCGCACGAGCTGGGGTGTGCGCGAGAGGGGAGGGACTTTGCGGAAACATACCATTAATTTCTGTAGTGTGTGTGCGCAAAGAAAGACATTCGCGGCTACAGGGCTGGAAAAAATGGGTTTCACTCTGATATCGATGAAAAGAGTCGAGGGAGTTCCAAATACGTCCCCTACAATATGTCGAGTATGCTTCTCAAATTTCTCTTCGTTCTCGAAATAAATAAATTGAAAGGTCTGACTGATAAACTCCAAACCTGGCTAAAAACATGTTCTATAGAGTCTGGTGAATGATCACTTTATATGACTCGCTTTAGATCATTATGCATAAATCTGGATAACACAGAAAGAATGTTAATTGTATTAGGGGAAGCCTTGATACTTTCTTCCAGTCATTTCGGCAATCATTATTGTTGTCTATTGCATGAAAAGTGATTCAAAGTCTACGCACTACCTCTTTGAAAATAATTGAACTTCTGTCTCCAGTGGTACAGTTTTTAGGTGTGTTGGCTTGCCTACCTTGGTGTTATAATCACCAATAATATTTTTTTTACATGATACTGGTGCTCTCAAAAGTTCCTTGATCGTCAGAGGTCATGTAAATAGGTCTGCTGGCTGTAATACCACTGGGGCTACATTCTACCGTATAAAACGGCCGTAGAAGCATTACAACAAGGTAGAGTTTACAATAATTTGCCAAAATTTTTAGTACAGTGGTAATTTCAAGGCATTTTTATTATAAGGCATATCTTTCTCACAGTGGAACTTTACAATCTTATTTCTCACATTAGGCAATGCCATGGTTGGTACTTAGTACTGCTCGGTATCCCTGAAAAAGCGTGCACTGTTCGAGCCTCTGGTTTGTTTCTAGAAGTAGAAATCGAAACTTTGGTTTGATATACCCGTGTATTTGATGAAATTATTGTATTGAACAATTAGCAGCAGCCACATGCCAATGAACCAACAAGTTTCCTCTGTATATTGACTGATTTGCTCATTATTTATTATTATTAGATTTGTCAACATTGGGAAGAGTCTTTGTACGACATAAGTTTCTTTACTCAAAACAAATGTATCGAACACATCCACTGAGCATTGACTACAAAACTCCAAACCAGACTCATCACACAATTCTTCTAACTAAACTGTGTTTAATATGTACATATAAATTCAAACTATCTGTTCTCTGTCAAAACAGTCTCCTAAGCAGTTAAAAAAAAGGACTAAAATCTTTGATGCCATGAGGATAGGGAGCCCAGTTTGGGCTACCATTTGGCCAAAATAAAGGTAAAAATCAGCGTCATTACCGGTTTCTTCAACCATTGAAGATTTAGAATCTCTATGGGTATAAGTGGACGTTTCTCCCAAATAAAAGTTGTGTCTTTTATTGTCCAACACTATTTACATCAACGTTTTATACAACTTGGCTAAATCAATGAGCATAGCTGCACAAACTCCCGATGATTTGTCTGGTACTTATTAGTAGAGTTATACAAACACGATTGTTTACATAATCATACCTACCAGAAAATCCATGGAAATAATAAATTTCATTTATTACTCGTTAGGCTTAACTACAGATTACAACCCCCGATGGAAACTATCAGAGAATATACCCAGGTCCAAAAGAAACACCCTAAGGTAACATTGCCTAAAGGGGTCACCCCAACGTGATCGAGGCCATTTCATCTCCATTCTCCAAAATGTTTCCGGTGCAACACAGCAGGTCGTTCGGAAGCTTGTAAGGAAGTGGGCGGGTTCCACAGCTTTTCTGGTAGGTATGATTATGTAAACAAACAGGTTTGTGATCGCAGTACAAACTCAGAACTCGGACAGAACATAACATCTGTTCCTGGTGGTCCTCCGTGCCTACTATGTTAGTAAGGCGTAGGACGACGATTGGTTTAGGATCACGCCCCAGGATTTGATTCTTGGCAAGAAAGCCCATCTGAGTCTTCAAAACATAAAGGAGGCACATCTATCCCTAAAGGACAATGCTTCGATCTTTGAACGCCACCTACCTGACGACAGAGCCAAGAGAAAAACTGTTTTCATAGTGACATACTTCATGTCCGCCTCTCCCATAGGCTCGAAGACCAAGTCTGGAGAATTTGTTAGCTCTTTGGCACGCGGCCTCTTCGAGTGGAAAGACTTTAACAGTTGTTGCATAACTGAACTCGAAACCAGTTTCAGTCCAGTCTTCACCTCGCTACCTCACTAATAGAGAGACGGAGATCATCAATCTCCCTTTTGTTACACCAATCAATGTAGAGTTTCGATCTGGACTCATACAAACGTCTGGTGCTGTGGGGCTCATTGGCAGAATACCGTCCAGCATGAACAGATCCGGAAGATCCAGCAATTCCACTGGGGACTTGATTATAAGGTCAAGCAACATTAGAAACTAGACCTTCACTGGCCAATTGGGCACTCATCTCTTAGAGAAGCGACGAAAAAGGTGATCCACCACTCACTGAGTGATCTGCCACTTGGTGTTCTGAAACCGAATATGTCTCAAGAGGGCATCTACAGCACTGCTGCGTATCCCAGGTGGTGGTGAGCTGTTAGGTTGGCTCTCCAGGCACCAAAGGAGGATCTCTTCTGCTAGCTTCGACAACGTGGGGGAAGCGCTCCCCTCCTTGTTGATGTACAACACTACTGAGGTGTTGTCTGTCACAGTCTGAAGCAGGACTCTGTGATGGTGTGCGACCTCCTGAAAATGTATCAGAGACCGTAGGACTACAGCCAATTGATTTGGCGGCACGCATACATCCATCAGATGTCCGCCCCACCCTTGGAGCGATGCATCCGTAATTGAACCCTGAACATCAGGTATTGCATGTGGGCCTTGTGGTCCAGTAAGCACCTCTGAATTGAATGAGACCGGAGAGCTGCTGATGGAACGAGACGATGAACTGAAGTAATTATGCCAATAAGGCATGTCAGTTCACGCATAAAAGCCGACCCCATCGACAGGAGTTGGCTGGCGAGCTCCATAAGGGAGTCGCACTGTGCCTGAGAGGGGCAGACAAGCCCTTGCTTTTTGTCGAACTGCATACCCAGAAAAACTAGGTTGCGGTATGGGGCTGGACTTGTGAATATTTATTAAAAAGCGTAACTTGTGGAGGAGCATTAATCTGCTAACACCTCCCTGTCTCGGTTGTGCAATAACCAGTCGTCGAGGTATGGGTTCAGATAAACTGATGACCGGTGGAGTAGCTGGGTCACCTGTCTTAACATCCTGGTGAAGACGTATGGCGCCGTGCACAAGGGAGTGCGGTAAACTTGTAAACTTTGCCCTCTAAAGGGAATCTGAGATACTGCTGCTGCAATACCCCAAGTGCACTGACAGAAGCACCGAGGCCGGTTTTGGAAACTCTCCTGCGCCAAGCTGGTGTGTGCTGCTAAAGGCGTGATCAGGAAGGAGCGGACAGGGGTTCAGAGCTAGAGCTCCCAGAACCCCAGCCTCCATTTATTACTTACTTATTACTTATTACCTGAGCCGCCCTGTGGTTTTGGTTTGAACTGCTGGCCGGAAGGGCTAGCAACCTTGGCCAACAAGGATGATTGCTTCAATTGAATATGTTGATCCTCAGCAACCACCAAACCGTCCACCTCATCAGGTAGCTGGCCACCAAAGAGCCTGTCATGCACCAAAGGCCTTCTCCACAGGCGATCAAACTCGTCTCCCACTGGAGTAGGATAGGCACACTCGACCACTCGACCGAAACTGCTTCTGCTAAGAGGGCAGTATGGACTTGCAGGATGTCACACATAGCGACTATCTGCACAGCCAGAAACTGGCCCATCTGCCCGAAGACCATGGTTTGTTACTAATGCGGTCAGAACTAAAAAGGGCGAGCTGACGGTCTAAAGCCAAGGAAACCCGCTCCATAAAGTTGATGGGCCTAAATTCTGCCCGCAGCTCCTGATGCACTTGCCGGCCAAATGACCATGCAACGTGGCCTTTCCTATTCGTGCAACCCATCACAAGGGCATGGGTACTGGGATTGGGGCAGAAATCCATGGTGGAGGCTGAGGCATCAAACGAGTATCCCAAATGAAACAAATGTCTTGTACCAAACACTGCATGGTTCACAAGCTGCATCCTTAGCTGCATATTGTTAAGAGTCAGCTGGGCTCCGGTTGGTTGGGTAACCTGTGCTTGTCCCGACAAAGAAGGGGCGAGAGACAACAAAGCACTCATCAAGCTAACCAGCAAAGCCTTCCAAGCAGCCTCGTCACCATGGGAGGAGCCCCTTTCACCATGACTAACATCGTTAGAGGAAGACAACAAGGTCTGTCCCAGTACTTGTACAACTAAACCGGGTTGCGCAAGCGCCGATGTAGTCTAGGTGGATTGGACCAGTTCAGCCACTAAGGGCTGTACCGATCCCACCTCGGTACTTTCTATTGATGTTAGCGCCCTAGTAGGAACACGCTGTATCCCAATGTTGGTACCAGCGGTGATTGGGAGCTCCGTTCCCCCGGCAAGAGTAGTGGAGCGGGGCATGCCCACCTCAGTACTACTGAATGGGGGAACTAACTCCACAATGGAAGAAAGTCTCGTCGTTGGTGCTTTCCCAAGTCCCGTTCACATCCAAGGCAAGAGTGACAACACAGGTGAGGGTCCCAAACTGGCATTGCTAAGTGGCAAGATGAACATGTCTTATGTGCCGTAGGTCTAGTCAGCACGTTCTTAGTCTTTTTTAATGACTAAGATAAGACAAGAAATGAGTTCATGAAAAAAACAAAAAAATTCACTCTGCCAAAACAAAAATTGAGGCAAATTCAAATTGAGCTGGCGATTCAACAGAATAATGGGTCCTTAAAATGGAAAGCCCTTACCGTGATGTAGAAAATGCTATTGTCGATCGTCAAAGCATACTAAGAAGCTTAGAAAATATTGTAATCTGTCTCTCTCTTTTTTTTTTAAATGTTTTTGTGCATGGCGACAGTTGAATGTCACTGTTGTCTCTCCTGACTTTTTTTGTATGTGCAAGTTGCAAGTGCTGACATATAGTGCATTTTTGCCAAAGAAGCCATATTCATGTTTTGGTACTACACACATGACAGGGCTGTGCGGCCATCTCTCTATCAAATGGCAATTTAATGTGCTATGCTGGCATCAACCAGGCACTGTCAAACACATGGACCGGCGGACCTTAACCAAGGCTTCTCCAAAGTTTCATTCGTTAGTGAATGAATCTCGTCAGTGGAATTAGCCTTTCCATTGAGTGTGGCACACTCACCCAGGGTAGGGCTTGACCCCTTTTGGTGTTCAGCCCACGATCATGTGTCATGATGCAACATCCACTATGCTACCAGTGATCGGCCTTTGCCTCGTTTGTTACGCAAAATACCCAGTGAAAAAATATCCCTGTGAACTTCACCGGAAACAAAAAGAGAATGAAGACAGAATGGCCAGGGAGGGGGGGGGGTCCCTTTGGACATCGGTATATTCTCTAATTGTTTCCGTCTGGGGCTGTAATCTGTGATTAAACCTAATGAGTAATAAATGAAATTTATTATTTCCACATATTTTCTGGTAGATGATGTAGTAAACTCTATTAGCTATAATGACCATTTATTGTCTGAACTATATTAAACTTATACATATAGCGCCCAATAAAATCACATGACTATATATTGTATTGATATATACATTTCCCAATATTTGTCTTTATTGATTGTATGTGTGGATCTGCAATGTTCTCCAGGCATAACAAGGTCACATGATCACTTATTGCCATCTGATACATTAATCCATTATAGCATTGACTGCATGTCCCAATTTGCAACAGTGCAAGAGATATTAGTTATGAATAATAATTAGGTCACATGACTATATAGTCATCTGATATATTAGTCAGAAGAAACAAAGCAATAAAAATAAGTTTTCAAGTCTGACAGGAAGCCAAGTAAAGCCAAAATGCGCATACATTTTAAGTGCAAGTTGCAAGTATGTGTGCATGTTTGAATTTGAAACTGTGCCATGCCAGGAGCCTGATATAGTGAATACAGATTCAGACAACAGCCAAATCTGGAAATCAAAGGAAGAGAACTGAATAACATTTAATATTTTTATTAATATTACATCCTTCAACACAGTGTATACATACAGTCAACTCATCAAGTCATTCAGGCTGTCTTAGTGTACAACAAACACATTGCCTGAACAAATCACAGACTAGCATTCAGTAATATCTTATTTACAAATGAAACATTAATAAAACTAAGATGCTACATTGTAAGTGCCATATTGCATCAAACCCATCTAGATTTAGCAGTATGTCACTTTCTGTAAAACATAAACAAGTCACAGACACAACACAGTCCCCCATCCTGCAAAACAGTCAGCCATTTTTAATTCGAATTTGACTGATTTATGACTTATGTGTAAAGATACATTTGATCCTGATAGGCAGAAATGCACAATTTTGAAACTGCACCAGGATACCACTATGTTCAGTGCATTTGGAATGGCAGATACGCTTGTTTTTTATCCTTTTTACCCATAAATCACAGGATCACAAAACCAATGTATGTGCATAAACCAGTATATCCAAATATATATGTATGATGCAGCATAAATGTTGAACAGCTTAATTAAAAGCCAAATTGCTACCAGTCAGCCATTTTGAATCCGATCTCCAAAACATCGTGACAAGCTTTACACCCAATATTAAGTTTCAACAATTTCTACCCATATAAAGATATGGTTCAGAGGAATGACAGAAATGATTGATTTTGATGATTTGTTTTACCACTAAAATGGTCGTCACTTGGCATCTTGAATCGGATTGCAAAATGAATGCACATTATAAAATGTAGGATGCGTGTGTGACGTTTAAATGTGATTGACTTGGGCATGTTAGTGATGCAGGTGTGGATAAACAGGATACAAACAAGCAAAGTGGTGAAATTACGAGTCTATGTTTTCAGACTTTGTCCAAACAGTGATTAAAAATATGAATTTTACACTGAATACAGCTTGGATGGGCTTTACAGTACAAAGTAAGTAGAGCTGTACTATCATTTAGAGAAGGACATGGAGTCAATTCCATTCTGTTCCTTCAGAGCAATGCATTATTTATGTGAGCATGGGCTGACATTTGGAGGTCGAATGGCAATTACAGGCACTGACAGAGCAAATTCCCTACAATTGTTTATTTTGACTGAAAGACAATCATCGCAAAATGAGTAATACCTTGAATTGAAGCATACACTTGATTCCTTTTATTTGATTTTCAGTTATAAGATTGCAAACACTCGTTTTTTTTCTGGTTAATAATCACATGGTAACCTATCCTTGTTGCATTGCTTGGCTCTACTCACACAGTCACATTAAGAACTCTTCACTAGTTTCCTTGCTAGGTAAGTCACATAGAAAACTTGCTGGTGTACTTGCTGGCATATTGTCACATGGAAAACTCCTGAGTGCTGTTGCTAGCACACAGCCATATGATAAATTCCCATAATGTCATTTATAGCTGAAGACATACTTCTATATTGCTGGCATATAGTTGCATAAATGCCAAACCATGTAACTTAAAGGTACTACAAACAACAACAGATACTAAACAAAGGCCAAACCTAATATGCAGACATGTACTAAATATTAAAATAAGAAAATAATTACATTAATTATCATACAGTGTAAATGATTATCACATACAACCCCCCCCCCCCAATTCAGTCAATACACTAACTATCGGCACAAAAAATCCCTTTTTTTGGTTACACACTTTTTGTTTTTACTGTAACAGACTAAAATATTCCAACTGAATAAATTATTTTTGTCATTCTTCTGCGTAAATACATAAGTATAAATATGAGTGAATCTAGTAGTATTATAATCAGAAAATTACTGGTTATATGGTAGATGTCAAGATTTAATGTATACAGACAACTGATACTGATTACCAGTAGGTAATACAATTAAAAAAATTCCCACATTTAATATTGCAACCATGTTAGTACACAGGTAACTAATAACAAAATAGTGAGAATATGAAGCCAAACACACCATGGTTGCTTGATAAACACTTGTGAGGTGTGCAAGAATCTGGCCATAACTTTATAGAACAAAAAAATGCTATTCACCATAGATACTGGAAATTTATCAAAGTGATGAAGTAAAATTCACTGACATGTTTCAGTAACAGCAAAGTGGTTGCTGAATATATGTAACCTTGGAGAGTAAAACTGTAATGCTACATAATGCTAGATTTTGTAGAACAAAATATAACACAGATCTGGTCCAGAGACATGCAGCTCAACAAGCAGGTCATCAGTGAAATGGGATCGGCAAACAGTGGTTGTTAGAATTCACTTGAAGTGAAAGCTGGGTTTTTAAAAATGACATCGAAACATAAAGACTCAGAATAATATAAAATACCAATGCTAATTAGAGGAACAGTGATTTTAAATAAAGGTAAAATCTAGCACCATCTGCAAAAAGTACTACAAACAGCATTTGATGTGACAGATTTCATTATTTACACTATTTAAGTTGAAACACTACCCAGTTATGCACTGTAGAGAATCTTGATCCATGATGCCAATAAATATATAATCCATGGCAGAATCATTAACAAGCTGAATCTCAAAGCATGAGAGATATTGACACTATCATCATAAATTACCGGTACCTTTTATTTTAGGGAAATACAGCTGTCATTCATTTAGTTAACAATAATGAAGTTTTTTATGATTGAGTGTGAAATCTGTCTGATAATTTAAAAGCATTTTTGTATCTCCATTCACTGCTTGTCAATATTACCAAGTGTTATATAACACATCCATGGTATTTGTCAGATTGCACGAAAAAAGGAGACAATAAGAAATAGTAATCAATCAAAAGATATAAGCTGAGCCTCTTGCATGTAAGATTGTTGAGGTGCTGGACCGGACATTGGTGGCTGCTGGGGATACACATTGCCTTGTCCTTGCTGAGGCATTCCATACTGCTGCTGGGATTGGGGTGGTGGTTGCTGCTGCTGCAGCTGCTGTTCAGGTGGTGGTGGTTGCTGACCCTGGTTCAATTGCGGCAGTGAATTTGCCATGCCTTGCATGTTGTAAACATTCGGTTGTTGGTATTCAGCAAAATGAGGCGAATACTCTACTGTAGCCGAGTTGTAGTCTAACGAGGAGGGGGCACTGAAACTAGATGTTGACTGGGGTTGAGGTGGTTGATATTGACCTTGGGGCGGATACTGCTGGGATTGAGGTGGAGCGTAGGAGACGTTCTGCTGGGGCTGTTGATACTGGTTTTGTTGGGTGTAAGCTGGACCTTGGTTGACACCATTAACTTGTGCCTGTGCTGATTGCTCCATGTAAGTACCTGGTGCTGGCTGTTGTGCCATTTTATACGAGTGCACAGGTGAGTTCTGCATTGAGTTTGGAGGGGAGAATGTCTGAAAGAGAGAAATAAACATCAGACATTTAGATGATGGTCCCATGGTTTATAATTGTTGCTGCAGTAGACTAGCCATCGCTGGGTTGTTGAATTAGCCAATCAAACCATGCATACAGTATTTATGGAAAGACCATGTTCATCAGACTGTTACATAAGATACAAAGTTGTACTTGATTGTAATTTGTACAGTACACACAATAAAGTACACTGCAAGGAAACTAGTTTGTATACCTGCTGGGGTGGATTGTACTGCTGACTGGGTGGTCCCTGTGGGGCATATTGAGCAGTGTAGTGGGCGGGCCTCATTTGCTGTTGTTGTTTCTGCTGTTCCAATCTCATCTGTAACTCACGTTCCTGTTCTTGTAGCCTTTGCATGGCTAGCTGCCTCTGATAAGCGAGGTATTCCTATGACAACAGATAAATGTACATGGATGAGTATGATTACATTAATTGCCATTTGCAGAGAATACAGCACATAGTATGAAGTCTGAAAAGTGAAAACACCAATGACCTACATTAACTGAAATGCTATGTAAATCTAAATAAACTAACAAGTTTTTGAAACATCCACACTAGTAGTTTACCTGTTTCTTTTGCCTCATTATTTCCAACTTCTGTGCAATTTGGATCTGTCTTTGTCTTTCAGCTTCTTCTGCTTCTCTTCTTATTTTTTCTTGGTGGTCTTCCCGCAGAGCGTCCAGCGCTTCTCTTGCATCCCGTATTTGAGCTAACTTGTCCTGTAAAGACTCCATGTAGTCTATGAGAGACATGTACACGAGTTAGAATGAGCTTATAGTGGTTACGTGTATTGATGGAAAATGTCAACACTTACTGTAAATGGGTTGATTATTTACTGGGTTTTAATTTTGCTGGAAAATGCAGTAAATTAAAACCCAGTGAATATGTAAAATTTAGCATACCGTAGATCACATTATCTAAATGATAAAACTGTGAATTTAAAACCCACTGAATATGCCTGAAATCGTAAATCAGCGAAATTTAAACCCAGTGATAATTAGTCATTTTACAGTACGAGCTAGTTACTATGAGAATATAGCAGAGTCTGTATAACAATCATACTGACTGACTAACAAGTAGAGAGGTGCTATGAGACGTGTACAATGTATGTGAAATACTGTCGAAAGCACTATGCTTTCTATGTAACGGCAGTGGCACTTTAAGTGAACTATAGTAGTGTAATCTCACTTCTTTTGTCTTCCAAATCATCAACAATTTTCAACAACTCTGGATTCATGGTGGTGATGGTCTGGAACAATCCTTGTACTGACGTGTCATTAGCAATACTACGACCTCTCTGGGAATCACTTTTCATTCTGTTCACAAACACATCAATGTTTGTTGATAACGTCTGTAGGAATTGTTCATGTTCACCATTATCACTGGGATACTGCTGTTGAGAGAAAAGTAGAAATATTAATATTCAATTACTTTGATGACTAAATATCATTTAGTTTGTGAAGAGGAATAAGCAGATCATAGAAGCTTTACTTAAGGTGAAATACAAGTGTGTTTTAAGTAACTTTGAAAAACAGAAAAAAAGGGAAGGGTACATATACATTTTTTTGTTGTTGTATTTTTCCATTGAAATAATTTTGTTATTATTTGATTACATGTAAAGAATGTATGTGGAAACGGGGCAAGGCTCGGATACTGGAAACACTTTTTTATTCTATTTTGCCTAAAGTCTGGTTTTGTTTCTAGTGATTTTTTATTGAACGTTGACGACACTGACTGTCAGGAGAAATGTGACAAAGCTGTCAGAGGAGGAGACAATTTGACAGAGTTACTTACTTCAGATACTTTTCCAGATGATGAGTATGCAGGCTGTGTCTGAGAGGATCCAGACATTGGTGGGGCAGTGGCTGGCGTAATTTCAGCACTAGTTGGTGCGGATGGAGCAGTTTTCTGTTCGTCATGTTTCTGCTCCCAGTAGGATCGATTTAAATAACGTGCGAGCTGAAATGAAGAAAAGGTTCAATTGTTGTGAGTTGTATCTTTTTCGAAAAACAATTTTGAGTCAGGCGGCAGTTCTGGACTTTTCAAGTGTCACAGTAAATATAGTGCATTTGGTAACACCATATTGCATGTTTAAGATTACCCCATACCATAAAGGAATTATTATAATAGTCACTTTATGTGCCATCTAGCCTGATCGAACACGAACAATGGTGGTTCCTGCAAAATTGTATTCATTACTGAATGAATCTTGGCCTCCCCATTATTATCTGGGATTCTTTTTGGGTGTTCACCCCAAGTAAATATGTAGGATTTAGTCAGATCTATTGACCAGGAGTCAATAATGTAACAAGCACTACACTAATGGTGATTACTGACGCTATGAATCATATTAATAAATCAGTATGATTGCAATTCCAGGGCATCGTTACCCTTAAAAAGTATTGACCATAGGTGATGTCCCTGTTCTAATTATTAGCCAATTATCAATGGTTCTTAACCACATGCTACAACATATGCTATACTGAACCACAATAAGATTTCCCAACCTACCTCAGGATCCATGTCTTGCTGGGAAGTTGTTGACTAAAAAAAAAAAAAAAATTGAATAACATTTACATAACATGCTATAATAATATACAAATGAAAACGCTAAAAAAATAATCCTTGTCAAAGTTTATTTGACATACCACATCTGCTCAATTAGTCTTATTTTAATGATCTGTTGGTTTAGATGCACTTCTATTGCCAGTGTGCTATAATTGAGCAAATACCATAAACAGTTTTCACTGCTAGAAATGCTCATTATTTCAAGATTGTTCCCTAAACTGAACTTAAGGTTACTTCAACTGTATTTAGATCATCAATGAATAATCTCAGTGTTTTTAGAGTTTGATGTTATTTCATTTAATGTACTCATCATAAACCCTGCATGGTTTTACCTAATATTCAAATTTGCAGCATTGTAATACAAAACATGGTTAATAATAGGATTATACATGTAGCAGTATTGATTGAGATATTGGTAGAGCAAGATTTCTGCACAAGGAATACACATACTAACAAAAAAGGGAATCTTTAATAGTTTGTGTGCATGCATATGCATGTTGTTCCAAAGCAAATCGAGCACTAAGAAATATGGTGATCTCATCTCAAAGACCACCTTGAATCAAGTATATTTGGAATACAAAATGCACAAAATATTTCCTGGATTGCCTAATTTCACTTACAAAATTTGGCAAAAATAAATGCCTTGAGGGAACACTGAGGCACATAAACAATCATGACTATTAGTTACTCACAGTTGAAGAATATAGTGTTGAAGCAGGCGGTGATGATGAAATAGTTGAACTAACAGTACTTCTATTGTTTTTTCGAATACGCTGTAAAACAAAAACACAGTTATACATTAGCAGTTAACGTGGAACAAGGTACTGAGTTATGATACAACATACTATTTTAAGAATTCATATACTCAAGTACAAATTCTGTAAAAACAGTTTTTGTTGAATGAAAACTACAAACAAGTTTTCTGGGACATGAATATACATACATGGTGCAATTTCAGAGATTAACAACTTTTAAAGTTTAAACACTGCATTACCGGTATGTGACAGTGACTTACATCTCGGTTCTCAGCTTCATCCAATGATAATGCCATTGCTAGTTGTAGTTCCTCTTCCTCCTGTAATTCTATTTCACTTCGCTTGGCAGGAACCTAACACAAACAAGTCAAGACTTAATTTCCATAGCAGATGAATTAACTAGGTACCTGCATAGCCAACAAAATCACTCTATGTGATGCGGTGAGTGAAAAACATTAAGATATGCTGATATTATACAGCAGTTTTAACTTCAAAATATGGCTGAGCAATACATAAACATCAAAGAATTTTGCAGTCTAGATGTAAAGTGTCTCCCCAGGTGTATGACTTGTATGATGCCATTACATTCACTGTATTACATACTATTTTTTTACTACACACAAATTTGATGACAGATATAAATTATGTTACTCTGCGTTTCATGGTAGGTGTTTTCACATAAATTCACTGATTTTAGAAACCACTAAATATACCTGATAAACAAGAACATTTTGACACTCAGCTGAAACATACTGCTTCATAACCTAAAAAGTTACTACTCATTTACAGGTAAAAGGACTACACATTGAGTAAAGTGACATACATGTACCTGTGATTGCTGTGCCAGTGGACTGGCTAGATATTCAGCTGGTAGATCTCCTTCCGCTGAAGATGCAGCTCCTCCAGTCCTGAAATACAACATTGTATTTACAGTCAAACTTTAGTATGCAATCAGATTCTCAATATACATGTAGATTAAAAAATAACAAAGTTATGAGTTGAGAACACAGTATAGGAAGGTTGCTTGTCATTCTATAGCTGCAATAACAATCCTATGTATGTGGGTAATCTTATCCTAATTTCATTATCTGACTCCTTATTAAATCTGACATATAACCAACAATAGAAAGTTCTATTCTTTCCAAATGATCATTTTACCAATTCTCTAAATTCTGTTGATTATAGAAAAACAACTTGCACCATGGAAATAGGTTCTAGTGGTAGACTTGCTCTGTAACCAAACCAGCACTTACTTGTTCAATTTATCATGGCACGCTTCACAGACCCTAACTTCCTTTTCAATGCCAAACTTTGGTATTGTAGATGACTTTGAGGTGCATTTGTTACAGAATACTTGGCCACAGTGTCGACAATGATGCTGTGGAAAAACATCGAAATAAATGATATAGAGAAAAAATGAAAAAATAATAGTGTTTTTAGTATGTTATGTCACATATGTTATGGTGTGAATATGTTCAAATTACAAAAAATATGTCCTAAACAGTCAAATTTCACAATTTTCAGTATGTCAACATTTTAGTGATTGTGCCCGGAGTTTTAGTTGCTAACGCTACTGAACTATGTTCAGACATAAAAGATTCACCTTTGTTAGTAAATCAAATCAGAGCAATGGCAAATCCTCAAATATTACAAGCATATTCATACCAAGAAATGTGTCACATAATAAACACCCAAAATACAAATGCAAATTTAAGTACATAAGCATAACAAATACACTGACACAACAAACCAGCGAGTACTATCAGTAGATATGCCTTACCTTTCTCTGCATCATTCCAAATTCTACTCTACATCTATGACACACTTCACCATCCACCCACTCTGGTGCCTTTTGAAAGCAAAATACAAGAATTATTGACGTTGAAAGAAATGTATATAAATGTATGATAAATTAATTATTTTTTTTTGCATTATACATGTAACAGACATCAAAGACAGTTGAGGAATAACGATGCAAAATATAATTTTTTTACAAGTTTTCCTGTGATGCAGACAATATGACAATTGATATTAGAAGAAAATCATACACTATATAAGCTGTGATTATTAATATAAGAATTATTAATTTAGATATATTTATAATGAAATTAAAGGAAATTGATAATCTGTACATAATTTCAGAAATTCAATGTAAAAAACAAAATGACAATCATCAAGTTTAAATGATAGCTGTCCATGTAAATTTGTGTTCAGAATGGCAGAAACAGACACCTGCAGGTCAATCCATAAGACTACAGGAACTAATTAAAATGCCTCTGTGTGATAAAGTGTGTCAAAATGACATGTATCACTAACCAAGTTAGACTGAAAGACACATATGAGAAATGGTTGATTACATTGAATTAGTTTTGGCTTGTTAGGAACAAAAACATCAGCCATCCAGTCAAATTAAATTGAATCCAAAGGAAATCAAGGAATACAGTCAAATGTTTTGCTTTGCACCTCCAGAAACCAGCCACATACATGTACAGTAACCTAGCTCCACACAGTGACAAAGTGACTTAAAGTTAAAAAAAATAGGCCAATGGACTGTTGCTCAACGGCTATTGTACAAAAGATAAGTGCTGTATATGCCACAACCTTTTGTTTAAATTTGTACTTTTAAATGAAATATCGCCAAACAACCACACAAAGTTGTCAATGGAATAATAAACATGCATGCCTAACACCAAGGCATTGGAAATAGTGGTTAGTTGAAATTCCATTTTTAACCAAAAATTAGAGAAAGATATGGGCATGGGATGAACAAATCTAGTATATGTCAACACAAGGTACACACACACACCAAGTATCAAAGCATTCAGGCTACCGGTTTTGAAAAAGAAGTCGAAAATAGAATTTTTGACCAAAAAGGACCATTTTAAAATATTCGCCAAAATTAGGAAATTGAAAATTTCCTTACCAAATTGACAAAACTGATAGAGAACAACCCAAGCCACATGCACTATCAATATCAGCACTGTAGACCACTTAGTGTCATAGTAGCATAGAAGAAATTTTAGAGTTTTGGAGGGCTAATTTGCATAATTTTTGACAGATAGACTTCTCATGAACAAATTTCCCATCTACACTAATTCAAGGCATCCACACACCAAAAATCGAGTCAAGCGGTTCGGCGGTTTTTGAGAAGAAGTCGTGCACAGACAGACAAACAGACAGACAGAAACCCATCCCATAGGCTCAGCGGACCTATGGTCCGTTGAGCCAAAAATCAATGTCAAATTTGATTCCACATCATTACAACGAACACATTACAGGAAATGCTTAAATATCATCTAAATTATACTTCAATCAAGCTGACATAATTTGTTTGGTCAAGTTAACAAACTAAGTGGACAAAATAGATATGATTAACAGAGTTCTATTATTCATACCAAATATTTATAATGTATATTTATAGCGTATGAAAAATACCTTATCAGCAGCAAACATAGCATCACTTTCTTTCAACGGGGGAAAACTGTAACCTGGTAAGAAATGATGTCAAAAATATATGATTGGCCTTCAATGAAAAAATTTGTACTAACCATGTAAACAAAATATGTTATTAAAGCATGGTAAATATACGTTGTCACTATGGCAACTGTTTTATTCAGTCATTATTTATTACTTATTACTTTAATTATTATTTCAAATCATCTTGCATTTTCTAGCTCTCAGGAGCTTTATTTTTTTTAATAATATTTTGAATGCAATCTAAATGCAACACCTATGCACATGTATTAATACATACCTTCCATTTTCATAAGATGGTAGGTATCTTCTACAATTTTCAAATTGGGTTCATTGCGGAAAGCATGCGCCCAGGCTTGAATCAATTCCAGTATTTTGTTTTTAACTTTATCACTGCCAGTCTATAAAACAAAATGGAGCAAACAATAACATTACAGAATTATTGAACAGCAGGGACTGTAGAATGAAATTGCTGACAATAATATAGATGATAATAATTGCGAAGTACTAGTTTTAAACAGCTGCAACCCATGTAAATACAATATAAACACAGATAGTAATTTGACAGGAAATGTGAAAGATATATCAATTATTGCATACATGTAACAGGGAAGAATACAAATGTGTGAAATACTATTTACTTGACAACACAACACAGTTACTGGAGGGTGAAAATAAGGTCTATTTTACATGGAGTAGATTAACAAGCAGCCTATCGGCTGAGATAGCTCCGCTGTTAGCAATGCACATTTCAATTAAAGAACTGAAGACATCATTAGAAAATGAAC